GCCTCCTGAGTAACTGGGATTACAGGTGCCCACCACCACGCCTGGCTAATTTTTGTATTTTTAGTAGAGATGAGGTTTCGCCATGTTGGCCATGCTGGTCTCGAACTCCTGACCTCAGGAGATCTTCCCACCTTGGCCTCCCAAAATGCTGGGATTACAGGCATGAGCCACTGTGCCCAGACAATTTTAAATATTCCTATGGAGCATGTGGCCCATAAAGGCAAAATTGCCCCAGGCTCAGGGAAGTGAGAAGGCATCCCAAGGGCACCATGGAACAATAATACTCATCTCTGGGGATGTTAAAGAGCCAGGGCTCCGTTGCATTCAGCACTATGTGGGTACCTAAGAAGCTCTCAACGAGCAAGTTAACCATTTATCTTCCTCTACCAACTGCAAGTTGAAACCTTAGGAAACCACCAGGAGGGTCATGGGGTTGGGCGCAGCAGTGATGGGAAAAGTCACACAATTGCTACTTTTTTTTCTACGAGGTAGGGTCTTGCTCTGTCACCCAGGATGGAGTGCAGTGGTGACATCATGGCTCATAACAGCCTCAACCTCCTGGGCTCATGTGATCATCTCACCTCAGCTTCCCCAGTAGCTGGGACTACAGGTGCACACCACCACGCCTGCTAAAGTTTTTGTTAATCGTAGAGACAGAGTCTTCCTATATTGCCCAGACTGGTCTCAAACTCCTGGGCTCAAGTAATCCTCCTGCTTTGGCCTGCTGAAGTGCTGGGATTATAGGTGTGAGGCACACTCCAGGCCCCCATTTGTTTTTTTATTGCACGGCAGACTGAGGAAACACACCAGGTGGAGGAACAGATCAAAACTTCAAAGCAAGGCTACTGTGTTCCGGTCTGCAAGAAACCAGACAGGCAGCAAAAAGAGCTCTTTCTGGATTCCCAGTGCAGATGTCAGCAAGCACCGAAGAGGTGAGCTGAATGAACAAACGGGTGTATGAACCAACGATGAGAGAACCACGGGAGGAACTTTTAAATCCTGAGTTGTTTATCCCAAAAGTTAGCTTCCCAGATGCAAGTTTCTTCAGAGGCAAAGGGAAACAAATTCTTGTGGTTTTTTTTGTTTTGTTTTTTTCTTTCTTTTCTTTTCTTTTTTTTGAGACGAAATTTCGCTCTTGTTGCCCAGGCTGAAGTGCAGTGGTGTGATCTTGGCTCACTGCAACCTCCACCTCCCAAGTTCAATCGATTCTCCTGCCTCAGCCTCCTGAGTAAGTAACTGGGATTATAGGCATTCACCACCACACCCAGGTAATTTTTGTATTTTTAGTAGAGATGGGGTTTTGCCATGTTGGTCAGGATGGTCTCGATCTCCTGACCTTAGGTGGTCCACCTGCCTCGGTGGGTGTCAAAGTGCTGGGATTACAGGTGTCAGCCACTGTGCCCAGTCACAAATTCTTTTAAAATTTTCTTATAGAGATGGGATCTCACTATGTTTCCTAGGCTGGGCTCAAACTCCTGGGCTCAAGCAATTCTCCTGCCTCAGTCTCCCAAAGTGCTGGGATTACAGGCATGAGCCACTACACTTGGCGGGGAAACAAATTCTTAATAAGTGATTGCAGAGGCTACTATCGTCTCTGGTTAAATTCAGAAACTGAGGTTCAGGGAGGTGATGTGGCTTGAGGCAGAGCAGAGGGGTTAATGCCCTGCTCTTCTCCGCTTCCTCAGGGCTGTTACTTGGAACTAAGCCTTCCAAGCCTAGAGGCCCCAAGCAGGTACCAGCCCCATGAGGGCCCCCACAGTTCAGGTGTGTCCAGCCCAGGCAGGAGGCCCTTCGGGACAGGCCTGAATCCAGCTGGAGAACGGGCTCTCTGTCTTAGAGTTTGGCACGCCTTCTGTTCCTTCCTTAGGCTAAACTGCAGCCACTATCCTGGGGAATTTCAAACCACATGAGAAGGTCCAGCCCCACCGTCCAGCTCAGGCTCTGGCTCCACCCCCTCAGCTTCACCTACACCCCTGCCCTGCTCAGGAATCCACAGAGACTCACTGCTGGCTCTTTTTTGGGGGGCTCATTCCCCTTCCTTCTTCCTGCCTCCTCTTGCCCACCTAGCATCTATACTTCTGATTATGAATTCATTTCAGTGTAACCAGCAAGAAATCCATCCTGCTAGGTCCCAAAGCAAAGAGTGGGACTCCAGGGGCCAAGATGCCAATGACTGCCTCAGGAGGCTGGCTGGATGGAGATGGGAAAACCGATAAGGGAAATAGTACGGAGCTTGGAAGTTATCCAAGAGAAACAAACTGGCCGCTGCTTCTGGGCTGACTTCAGAGGCCCCTGGACAGCAGCATGCCAAGTGGACATCTCAACACAGGCACTTCTGGCCAGCAACAGGTTTAGCCCAAGTTACAGAAGTTCTGTTTTGGACATTTCTCTTCAATATCAAATATATACCTTTTTAAAAGTCAGGTGAATAGATGTAATTTTGGATTTTTCTTTTCATTATACATGCGGGTTTTTTTTTTTTTTTTTTAAGAAATTAAAAGAGTTTATTGGGCAACTTAAAATCCACTTTACCGTTCTTTTTCTTTTTACTCTTTCATCCCAATTTATTGGAAGACTGAAAAATAAAGGGAAGTGCTGCTGCATTTACAATTCCCAGGGAATTTCACCGCTTACTGGGTCTCGAAAGCACTTGGAATTAGGAGACGATGGTCTCCCCCAACTCTACGTGACCCTGAATGGTATGTCCAGACCCTGGTTTGCAAACTCTGAGAGTGAGGGTGCGTTCCACTACCTGTAGAGATTCTGTCGCCTCTAACACACCATGACCCCGTGTCCCAGGAGCAGCAGGATGGGGGTCAGCTTGGATGTCACTTTCTCCGCTGGGAGCCCCAGGGCAGTGACATAGTGTGAGTCTGCCCCCTCAGGTGTAAATGTCTAGCACTAGATCCTTCTCTGAGAAAAGGCATTGATGATGGTAGGAGAGAGGGTGGAGGTACCAAATGTGAGAGAGGGGATGGGGATGGGTGGGGACCGCACAATGAAACAAAAAGCTCATGGTCAGTTTCATCAGAATCTCCTCTCTCAAAGCCAAGAGCCCTGTCCTCAGCCTGGGCTGATGTATTCCACAAAAGATTCCTTGAGCCCCTCCTGTGAGCCAGATGCCATGCTAGGTGGGGACACAGTAAGAAGCAAGGCAGGCTTGCTCCCTGTGTTGCTAGAGCTTAGGGCAAAACCCAGATATTAACCAAGGGTTGCTGGCAACTATGGAAGGCGCTACAGGAGAAGCTTGAACTTGGCCTCTCAGGGGTCCCACGCCTGCTGGCTGTTGTACTCCTGCAGACTCCACCTCCACTTTAGACCTTTGCTTCTCACCTATTCCTGGTCAACCCAGGGAGATGGAAACCCAGTGCAGCTGCCTGCCAGGACCTCCCAAAACTAAAACTAGCTGTGCTTAGAGTGGCTCTACCTCAAGGACACAGCTCCTTCCTGGCTCGAGGCAGGAATGGCGACAGTCCACATGGTGATAAGGAGCCCAGGAACTGGACCAGGGAATAAGTTGTTGATAGGAAACCCTTCCTCCCCTCTCCCTGCTTAGAGGACATGAGAAAGGTATTGACATCCACTCCCACGGGCTGCTGGGACTCAGGATTCCAGGGTGTCACATGCCTGGTGCTCCGGCTGTGCCTGTCACTTTCTACTACCACCGCCAACACACACACAGGCATGCATGCACACACACGGGCACATGTGCACACACTCACACACGTGTGCACACGCACTCACACAAGCACACACACACATACACACATGCACCATAAGAGGGGGTGCCTATAATCTGTTGTTCTGGGCTTATGCTTATAACTGTTCCATCCACTTAGACCACGGCCTCCGGTATCCACACCCACCTCTTAGAACCAGTCATCTGTAAATTCACTACCTGTGCCAAGCATTGTACTTCATACTCATTCATTCATTCATTGGATAAATATGTATTGAGACCTACTGCATGCCGGCCACCATGCTGGTGCTGGGGATACAAGGGTGAACCAAATAGGCGTCATCCCTGCCCCCAAGGAGCTGCAGTCTCACAGACATTAATAGCTCATGTTTATTAAGTGCCTACTAGATATCCACCCTGTATTAAGCACTTTATGAATTATCTGATTTAATCTGTCAGAGAAATTGTTTCATTTAAGGAGCACGTCAAACTGAACCACAGAGAAAAATATGGACTTGTCTAAGACTGTTGGACAGCGTGGCTGAGAGAAGCAGGGACTCCAAAGCACTGCTCTAACCACAGGGATATCCTTTCCCCGCCCCACTAAGATTCCACCTCCTCCAAGGAGCTTTCCGGAATCTTCCTCTCAGGCTCAAGGCCTTCCTTGGTCTCTCTAATCCAGCCTTCATATTTGACACAGCCATCTCCTCCTCCCACAAAGACACCCAGAGAACTGGAGGCGTGTCTGCATCCCCTCTGTATCCTTCCTCGGAAGCGCTGTTGGATGAGCGACCCTCGATCCCCTCCAAACGTGCAGCTGAATTTGCTGACCTGAACTAGTACCCCAGGTTTTCTCCGCCATGGGTTTTCAACTCACAGGATCTCAGATCTTCAGAAGGGGCCTCTGCATAGGGCCCACCCATCAAGGTGTCCATCTAACAGATGAGGCGGTCAAGGCTCCAAGTGAGTGAAAGCTCCCTTTACCTCCAACCTGGGTCAAGGTCGACTCCCCTTTCTTCCAGCGAGCCTCGGCCCCTCGCCAAAGGTTTGGGTAGGGAAGGGACAAGGAAACGACCTCGTCTCCAAAACGCACTGGAGATGATCGGCCTCCCTCCCACCACCCCGGACCAACGGCCTCCCGCGCAGACCTCAGGCACTTCCTCCAACAGAGGTGGGGCGAGACGGGGGACCCCTGGTCCCCACCCCCGGGCCTTCCTTCGCCCAGCGCGGCCGGCAGGTGGACGGGAAGCCACCGCACCTGGGCCGGGCCGCTCCTCGCTCCCCGTAGCCCCGGGCGCCCCGGCGACCAGGCGCCTCCTACCTGCTCTGTCGAGCCCCGCTCGGCCTCCCGCCGGCCCCGCCGCGCTCCCTGCCTGGGTCCCCGCCGCCGCCCGGCGCTGCCAGCCTTCGGATCCCGCCCCCTCCCGGGGGTCCCGCCCCCAGCCCCGCCCCGCGCAGGTGATCCCGGGGAGCCCCGGGGCGGCGCCGGGGGCGGCAGGGTCCCGCACACTGGAGTGGCGGCGCCTCCCCGTGGTGTCCCCGTGCCTGGGTCCTTTCTGGGACTGGCTCTGGCACTCCCGCGCACTCCGTCCAGTGGAGAAGTCCAGCAGGAGGCTTCCAGGAGAGAGGGAAGGGGCCTCGCAAACACGAGGGGAACTCCAGGCACTCTGAGTAGGGTCTTTTAAAGGAGCATGGCGCTAGTCTGATGGAAGGATTTGGGGGGTGCAGGTGGGAATTTAGACAAGCTCAGAACGTTAGACCCGGAGGAAACGGAGGCTTGGCAGCCTGCAAGTATCAAGAACTCGGCCCCTGTAGGATCAAAGGCTCCTTCCTACCCAGGCTGTCCGGCTTCCAGCCGTATCCCGGGAGCGCAGGGCAGTATCCCTAGCAGGCAGCAGGCAATCAATATTATGGAAAGCGAGAAGAGACATCGAGAGGGAATCTCTCCTTTCAGAAACAGGGAAGCTGGGGCCCAGGAAGCAGAGGTGAGCACGAAGTCTTACAGCACGTTAGTGACAGAATCAGGAGTAAAAGGCAGATTTCCCGGTTCTGTTTTCAAATGATTTCCAGAAAGTGATTGGATCTGGGCCGACTGCCTTGTGGCTTGGTTCCTGTGAGATGCTTTCAAACCCTCCCCAGCTGACTAAGAACTGAGATTTTTATAGGGAAAATAAAATGTATTTTTATAGGAAACTCCAACGTAGTAGTTATTTATTTATTTTTGAGACAGGGTCTCACTCTGTCACCCAGGCTGGAGTGCAGTGGTACAATCTCGGCTCACTACAACCTCCACCTCCCGGTTCAAGCGATTCTCCTGCCTTAGCCTCCCAAGTAGCTGGGATTACAGGCACATGCCACCAAACCTGGCTAATTTTTTTTTTTGGTAGGAATGGGTTTCACCAGGCCAATCTTGAACTCTCAACCTCAAGTGATCTGCCAGCCTTGGCCTCCCAAAGTGCTGGGATCACAGGCAGGAGCCACCACTCCCAACCTACTTTATTTTATGGAGACAGGGTCTTGCTCTCTTGCCCCAGCTGGAGTGCAGTGGCACAATCTCAGCTCACTGCAGCCTCTAACTCCTAGGGTCTAGTGATCCTCCCACCTCAGCCTCCCAAAGTACTGGAATTACAAGCATGAACCATCATGCCCAGCTGCAAGGTGGTATTTATTAACAAATATTGATTGAGAGTATAATTCTGTAATTCGACCTTCTCACCAAAGACTTGAGACACCTGAGTAGGGTCTTTAAGGAGCATGGCGCCAATCTGTGGCTTCAAGAGCTTCCCAGTAGAGGGGAGGCAGACTCGGTTACAGGGAGAGGCCACAATGGGGGCAGAGGAGCCCAGTGGGAGCCTGCTCTGGCCCTGAGGCCTGAGTGCCACAGTAAACCACACTGGAGGCCACTTCAGGATGCTTCTGGAAGCTCTTCCAGGTTTGTTTGTGGAGGCAAGAACCCCCAGTGCGTAGTCTGAGGTTCAAATCCTGGCTCCACTGCTTACTACTTGCAAGATGGGAGCGGTTTTTAAAACTCTCTGAGACTGTTTCTTTCTGTAAAATGAAGAGAATGCACTTCAGTATAGTTGTGGTAAGGATTAGAAATGAGATCACGCTCGTGAATTGCCAGGCGAGTGGGAGAATGATTATGCCAAGTGGCAGGAACTGGGAAGGGGGGGCCTTGGGGTCTCAGGTGGGTCCTTCTCTGTGGGGTTTGGTGATCTGTTACCTATGGCTCAAGCCCACCTTCTGCTTTGTCCCTTAATCCAGGCTGGCTAAGCCACAGGACACCTGCCATGTCAGAATGAGTTTGTGCACATCCAGTTAGGGGTTTGGGAAGGGAGCCCTTCCTTCACCAGCCCTCCCATAACCAGGGGCAGCCACACCAGCCGGGCCCAGGAGACAGAAGCATGAAAAGGCCCTTCACTGCTCAGTATTCACTCATTATGTGCTACAGAGTGTTCACTACAGGCCAGGCACTTTGCAAGGTGGGGCAGAGTCAGTGGTGTCCCCTCCCTGCCCTATAGGCCTCACCTTTTAGTAGGGCTGGGGTTGGGGGGACAGATGACCCAAGCACAAAAGACAATAACAAGATAATAAGACCATCTGACAAGTTCTAACGGAAAGAATAATATGATGTCATTGATTATTATGGGTGGGAGGTCAGGGACTCCCTAAGAAACAGAGAAGAAGGTAAAACCCATCTGCCAGTGGAGGCCATGGGAGCTGAGACCCAAAGGACAAGCAGGCAGGGGAGGAGGGGCTGGAGCTGGGGCTAGGGAGCATTCTAGAAGAGGACAGGGTGGGACAGAGTAGGGGAAGCAGAAGGTTGGTTTGTGCAAAGATCCTAGGACCAGTATGGCCACCAACGCCAGGAATGGTTTCCAGGAGAGTGGACAGAATGAGGTCAGAGGCAGGCAGAGATCAGATGTGAGGACTTAAGGTCAGAGTAAGGATTTTAGTCCAAGGACTGGGGAAGCCATGGAGGGTTCCCCCTTGCCACTAAGAAAAACAACAGGCTGGGGGCGGTGGCTCATGCCTGTAATTCCAGAACTTTGAGAGGCTGAGGCAGGAAGATTACTTGAATCCAGGAGTTCGAGATGAACCTGGGCAACATGGCAAGGTCCCATCACTACAAAACAAATTTTAAAAATTAGCCGGCCATAGTGGTGCATGCCTGTAGTCCCAGCTACTTAAGAGGCTGAGGTAGGAGGGTCACTTGGGCCTGGGAGGTAGAGGATGCAGTGAGCTGAGATTGCACCACTGCACTCCAGCCTGGGGGACAGAGCCAAACCCTTTCTCCAAAAAAAAAAAAAAAAAAAAAAAAAAAAAAAAAAAAAAAAAAAAAAAAAAAAAAAGGAAAAAGGGAAAGAAAAAGGTTTTGAAATAAATTTAATTGAATGTAAAATAAATTTAATGGAAAATAAAATTTAATGCAATGTAAAAAAATGGAATGTGATTTTCCATTTTTAAAATCAGATGACGTATATATAAAACAGTTTTATAAGTCAATGAAAATTGCTTGTAAAATTACCCAACAGCCAGCACTTTGGGAGGCTGAGGCAGGAAGATCACCTGAGATCAGGAGTTTGAGACCAGTCTGGCCAACACAGCAAAACCCTGTCTCTACTAAAAATACAAAAAAAATTAGCTAGGTGTGGTGGCGTGCACCTGTGACCCCAGCTACTCGGGAAGCTGAGGCGGGAGAATCACTTAAACCCAGGAGGTGGAGGTTGCAGTGAGCCAAAACTGAGCTGCTGCACTCCAACCTGTGACAGAGTGAGACTCTGTCTGGAAAAAAAACAATTACCCAACAAACCACTCCTGTTTCAGATGGTACCATATGGAGTCTCAGGTGCTGGGGATTTTAAAATAACAAAAAACAGCTGGTTCCACATGGAAAATACTCAGATGCAACCAGTTATCCTTCACTTTCTTATTAGCGGAAGATGTAACTACAAGCTAGCCTTTGAGCGGCTGTGTTTTCATCGCCCGGCCAGGGTTGTCCAGTCTTTCCTGTCTCCCCTCAAAGCCTTAGTCTGCTGTTTATGGCTTTTGAGATGGTTGCTGGGGAAAGCAACCAAATATCACGTGGGATTAGAATACAATCTCAGGGGCGGAGACGAAGCACAGAGAATCATGAGTCCAGAGAACCCCAAGTCCACATTGTTTAACCTAGTACAGACAGAAAGGTTGGGGGGGGGGCGAGCTCAAAGATACCTAGGCCAATTGATTTTGAAACAATTCCCTGTCTCTCAACTAAGGGGGTAGAGGGAGCAGCAAAGCCACAGCCACAGGCCAAGGTTCTGAATTACCTAGAGGGCACACAGTGCAGTGTGTCATGTGGCCATTAGCCAGATGGACGTGCGCTGGGTGGACGTGAAGTCCAGAAGAGGGCCAGTGCCTCTTCCCACGCATCACTGTCCTGAATGTGGGCTGATTCCCATCTTACCTCTAGGAGCATTTGGCCATAGAGGATGAGGAGACAAAAGACTGACAAGGACTGATCTCGCTGCAAGCCACCTGATCTCCCTGGGCCTCTGTGTTCTCATCTGTGAAATGACCGGTTGGATGGCTTAGTCTCTGAGACCTCACCGAGTTCCATCGTAAGTCTGATAATCCTGAGTGTACCTTAAACAGCTAGCCCACATAATTACCTGACAGCTTCCTCATTTTTTATGTACGCTTTTTTAAATGTGCGTTAGCACAAACCATTTGTTGGCAATTACAAGGGAAAAACTTCTATTCCCAGAATGAAAATAGGAAGCTGTAAATTAATTTAAGTCCTTCTGCCATCAGCAGAAGCCACTCCTCCTTGCCTTGACAAGGAACCTGTGCTCTCCTGGTGGCAGTCAGCCCATTCACGGCTCTCCCAGCTGCTGAGTCCTCAGCAGTGAAACCCCGTCTCTACTAAAAATCACAGTCCAGTCACTCTAGGAATCCCAGAGCAAGAGCAGAGAAAACACAGCGAGGAAAGATGCAATCCAATGGCTATGCCATTTACTTGTGCTGTGACTTCAGGCAGGTCTCTTAACCTCTCTGGGCATGAGTTCCTCTTCTATAATTCGTTCATTCAGTGAATATTTACCAAGAACCTGCTATGTGCCAGTGATGAATAAAAGAGATGACAATCCCTGTGAAGCATGCATTCTGATGGGAGAAAAACAGCAAAAATGAGGAAGGCAGGCTGGGCGTGGTAGCTCATGCCTGTAATCCCAGCACTCTGGGAGGCCAAGGAGGGTGGATCACTTGAGTCCAGGAGTTCAAGCCCAGCCTGGGCAACATGGATAGACCTCACCTCTACAGAATATGCAAAAATTAGCCTGACGTAGTGACACATGCCTGTAGTCCCAACTGCTCGTGAAGCTGAGGTGGAAGGATC